CTGATCTCCCTTCCTTCCGCCGCGCCCTCAAGACATGGTTGTTCCAGCTTGCGGGACTGGCCTAAGGGATTTTAAAGGGGTTTTAATTACTTTTAATCGGATCAGATTTAAATATTTCTTTTTAATTAATTTTAAATGTGTACTGTATTTTTGTATTTTATCTGATTGTTAGCCGCCCTGAGTCCGTAAGGAGAAGGGCAGGATATAAATTTAATAAAATAAATAAATAATAAATAAATAAATATTTAATATGGATACATTATGTTTATGAATTAATATGGGTATATTTATGGATCTAAACAGAGAGCAAACCCCAGTGCCTTCTAGCACTGAGGATATTACCTAGTTGGGTAATGAAATGTCTGCAAAAAAAAAAAAAGCTCAGAGAGCAACCAAGGCCCCACATAGATTTTTTTTCTCATGTCACTTCTCATTTTTACCCATCAGGCCCATGATAAAGACACTGGCAACTATAGTGCCATGCAGTATAGACTCATCATCCCTCCAATCAAAGATGGCAAAGAAGGCTTTGTGATTGAACCATATACAGGACTGATCAAAACAGCAATGCTCTTCAAAAACATGCGACGATCTTATTTCAAGTTTCAGGCCATCGCAACGGACAATTATGGGAAAGGGTTGAGCAACAAATCAGATGTACTTGTAAGTATGATTGAATAGATCATATCCATAGATTGGTCTTGTACTTTTTATTTAGGATGATTCACCTGTTTTTGCAGACATTTGTCTTGATAATTTCTTGATTTGATTGCATTATACTGAGGGTCTGTTGTTGTGGGGAAAAATTCATGCGCAGCAAACTGCCATGGTTTCCCCCCCACAAACCTCATAATTCTATAACCTCTTGATACCCTTTGTCCTAATGAAGCAGCCAGAAGGTCATACCATTTTGACTTAATGCTTCACGTACCTAAACAGATAATATGCTTAAGTTTCTTTCTATCTCTTCCTGTCTTTGTTAGTTCATTCTGCTTTTCATCTCCCTGTATTTGTTCTTACCTGATTTTTGACCATGTAATGTGTTACTAGAAAATAGATGCTTACATGAAGACATTTTCCAATGAAGAAACCTTTGTCAGCATCTAATGGTTAAGCTGTGTATGTAACAAGTATATAAGAAGCAATAAACTCAGAGTTTGTCAAGCTGTGTCCTGCAGCTTCAAACCTCTGCTCAAGACATGCCTGCGTCTTTGTCTTAGCGGCATACATATGGCGTCTGAACTGGGACAGCCCCCCCTTCCAAGGGAAAGCAACAGCCAACATACTTACCAGCGTCTGGAATAGACCCCTAAGTTTCGTCCTATGGGACCCCTCAATGGTACGTATGGGTTGCAATCTACACAAATCAGACGTGAAAACGTCTGAGGCAGACATAAGGAAGCTGGTGAAGGAGGTAGGGAAACATTGCCCTTGATATCCTAAGCGCTGGACGCTTAAGGTTACGAGATTGGGAAAAGATAAGGCAAGAGATTCATACATTTTGAATCTCGGGCTCCAGTACAGGTATTACATCAATGGCATTAGTGCCATCAAGCAGTGGAAAAATTTGGCTCAGATGCTTCAGCAGGGCAACAATTAACTACAAGCCCCACACCTGATTAGGATCAAAGTAAAAACTATGCCTCTGAAAGCATCTTTAATTGGATTTTCAGCTCCTTCTGAAGAGGCTAATTCTTTTGCCTCCTTACAGCCATCATACACCCCCATAAGGAAAATATTAGAGCAACAATCTTGAAGTAGAAAATATATATATATATGGGGAATTGTCAGAGGAATTTAAAGAAACAAATTAAATCAAAATGTACTCCTCTGCAATGTGTTTTGAACAATTGGGATGTTTTTCAAGTAGCTGTTAAGTTTAACCCTGGCAGACAATGTCTGATGGTGCTTTGTGTTGATATGTAGAAGTACAAATAATCTTTAACAAGACAACATTGAAAAACTTTGTAAACCTCCGGTTGGCTAGTTTATCTGATAACAACTAAAGCCACGGAAGAAAAAGAACAAGAACATTCAAAGAACTAAAAGCAAATTTTTTTTCTTTCCCTTTTAATCTGGCTCTATTCAATTCCCCTTTCTCAAAGGTGAGGAGAGGAGGCTGCTACTTTCTCCTCCCCCTTTTCACACCTTCAATATTCCTTTTAGTCTTTCCCCACTGTCTTTTGAAGTTGCTGGGATAAATTGGAAGTAACCATAAATGTTCCCCTCCTCTTTAATAAAAAGGGGAGGCCTGTTTTAACCTCAAACCCCAAATTGATGTGTGTGTGTTTTGTTTATGTATATGTGTGTATATGTGTATATGTGTGGCCACCCAGAACATTATGCTTGGGCTTGGAATGGTGAGAAAAATAGGAGATGGTTAAGGGCCCTATATAAAAAAACCCCACATGTTTGGTTGGAATCATCTCATGATTTTTCTCGCTTCTTGCAGGACAAGCCATATGTCTAAATAAATGTTGTTTTAATAGTATTTGTGTATATATGTTTATCTGTGTTGTTCTGTGTTATTTTCAAGACTTGGAAGAGGGTCAAAACCCTCTCTGATAACATCACAAAAAAGGCCTTATTTAAAAATACAGTATATGGTTTGCTTGGAGAAAGTATGAAATGAAATATTTGTATGTGGAATTATTTATGCAAGCAGTTAGAATGAAAATGAATGAATTAATTTTCTGAGACCTAAGTGTGTGTGTTAGCCCTCAAACCCCACCCTCCACCCACTCCTTTCCAGGCTGTGAAAGAAATAGAAAACTGCAGAATTTATTGTTGTAAAAGTAATGGAAAGGTAATAGTAAGTGTTTGCATGAGAAGAATCCCATGGAGAATGTGTGAGAGAATTTATGCATGTGAAGGAGACAAAACTATTTTTTTTAGTTTGTAACAAAAAAATTTCCTGTCTCTTTTGTTTTTCAATTGGCTGTGTTGCTTTAAGAGCAAGAAAGACAGAAAGAAGAGGGGGGGGGGTGGCTGTTCGTTTTAAACTTTTTTTCCTCTCTGCTTAGAATTCCGGTTTGAGAATGGTGGTGAAATTTAAAGCCCACTCTTGCAGTTTCAGATTACAAATTTTTACTTGAAAGAGGAGACAGTAATTATTGGACAAATTTTTTGGGGGGGAAATTGTTGAGTTTAAATTGTTTAGTTAGACCTATATATCCATCAACCAAAAGAAATGACTCTGAATTGTTTTACTTAAGATTTCTAAATGTTTAACCTACTTAATGGAAATTTGTTTCCTTCTGAATGGTATTTGATTAATTTGGAATTTGACTTATTGACCAAAGGCAAACAACCTGGAGGTCTCATTGTACTTCCACTTGCAGCACTTGCCATGGTTAAGCAAATTAATGACATCTTGAGTACTCAATTTGTGGACAGAATTCTACATAAAAATTGTCACTTAACACTTTTGATTTTTTCCTACTAGTAAGCTACTTACAGGAGTATTAGCTGTGTTAGAAGCGCAAAAAGTATATTGAATTGAATGGCTTTACTTATCTCATCCCAAAAATGTTTTATCTTTTATCCAGGCTGTTGCTGAAATAATAACCTTAGGACACAATCAAGCTTGTCCTTGAAATGGGACTGATTTAATTAATATTGTTCTTCCTATCCCAAAATTTGATTTTCAATTTTATTTTCAGAACTTATCTCTTCAATGCTCTTTAGCTGACTATATAGGCTGTATTTCATATCATCTGCCTACACTGCAGTGCAATCCTCATCACAACGCTCAGAATTATCTACTGTTATTTTAGCTTTCCGCACCTTTTCTCAACAGACTTTTAACTTAATCTCTGACTCTCATTATGTGTGCCAACTTATTTTTAATCTTCCAGGTGCTTACATCACACCCAGGATCGACCCCAATCTTATGGTTTTGTTTTTAACTTTACAGCAACTGTTACAAGGCATAAAGTATTTATAGTTTGTTTCTCACATACGCATCAGTCCTTTAAGGACTGCTTTCACAAATAAATAAAAAAGGAGGGATCAAAGGTACTTAATTTGGCATGGATAACTCATCAAGTTAATAAAGTCCTAATAACTTTAAATCAGCTGAATATTTCTTTTCAAAAAACTACTGCCTACCAGCATCACTTTCAGCAGAAAGCTGTGCTCCCTAATCCATTGGTATATTATTGGCAATTGCCTGATAAAACCTGGTTAGGTCCAATTCTCTTATTAATTTGGGGGCGAGGCTTGCTCTTATAGGCCCTCTCTGGATTCCAGCCCGGTGTGTGCGACCAACCAAAGATGTCATGGCCTCAAATCCAGAACCCAATACTGGAAATGAAGCAGGTGACTCTTCAGACAGCACAACGTCCCTTTCACTCTCATCATCGCAGTCAACCAACAACCTGTGAAAAACCTAACATCCAAAGCACAGGAGGTTCTGCGGCAACAAAGAAAAGAACCTACACCAGAGAATTTATGCACTGCCATATTTGTGATTTTGACTGCAAATTCCTTAGTCATTCTTTGCCTCTCTTTCCTTCTTAATTGCTGTGTGGGGGCTCAAGCTCTCCTACCTCATCCTTTAGAATCAAGGATGAAATATAATATTTGGGTGCAATTAGCTAATGTCACACAAGTGACAGACTTTTGTATTTCTGAATCATATGATATGGAAAATCTACTCTCTACCTGTCTTATACCTGTGTGTATCCCAGCTTCAGTTTTAAAAAATTATACTGGTTTAAGCAATTTTCTATCAGACAATGAATTTTAATTATGCAACTATGTCAAATTGAGGTCCTAATCTTGTATGTTACCCCTTGATGCTATTGTTTTACATACACCAATTGTAGCTGTGCCTACAAATCTTACTTATGCAAAAATTGTCAATTGTACTACTTCACCTAAAAAACCTCGTTGTATACATGTCAGTCAAGGAATTTTAAATTGTACCTCCTTTCAAGAGGTATCCTTTAATTATGCACATCTATGATTATTCAATGTCTTTTTTTCCTCTACTTTCAATTTTCCATACTAAACTATCATTAACTTACCTCAGGAACAAGTTATGTTTTGTATAAACAATTGCAAAGTTATATGTCCCCTGACTAAGACTCACTAACTACTCCAGCTTAGGATAATGTCCTCACTAATAAAATAGAGAAGAGTAATTCTATAACCTCTTGATACCCTTTTGTCCCAATGAAGCAGCCAGAAGGTCATACCCTTTTGACTTAATGCTTCACCTACCTAAACAGATAATATGCTTAAGTTTCTTTCTATCTCTTCCTGTCTTTGTTAGTTCATTCTGCTTTTCATCTCCCTGTATTTGTTCTTACCTGATCTTTGACCATGTAATGTGTTACTAGAAAATAGATGCTTACATGAAGACATTTTCCAATGAAGAAATTTTCTGGTGGCGATCGCCGCGCCGATGGCGGCTTTCTTTTAAGCCGTCCGCCTCGGGCTGCGTGAAAGCTGCAGGAACAGCGCTCATCAGCTGTTCCACGGCTTGAAACCTCTCTCCCCGGGCATAGGGGAGACGGTGAGTTTTTTTTCCGGATAGAGGTTGAGTTCCCTAATCCTCGTTTTTGGAGGGTGAAGGTGAGAACTCCCTCGGAGTCCGGTTTTTACTCCGAACCTCGGGATGCCTTTGTTCGTCAGAACAAAGCCAGACGCTGCATCCA